GAATCGGCAAAAAATGCGGAATAACCCTTTAACCGTACATTAGACAGATACGCGCGCATTGACTTTTTTGTAGATCTTATTGAGATACATGTGTGTGTCAATTTTTGTGTCATTTTGACAAAGCGTACAGGCGTGACACTCAACAATGTGTATTTTCACCTTAGGGGACAAGAAAAAATGGACTTTTTTCTCCTGCCATGGGGGGGCGCTCTTTTGGGGAGTAAAAATTCCTTCACAAATGTGTTGATGGCTGGACATTGCATCATCCTAGAAAACTTGGAGGCCAGTGAGGGCAAAAATAAAAAGTTATAAGACTTTTAAAAATGTGGATTTTAGGGTTATCTTTGGCGCCCCCTAGAACCTAAACCGTGGGGTGCAGCGTCATGATTTGAATAACTTTTAATGGCCATGGGGTGTAGATTGGCCTGAGCAAATGTGGTGCCGGTGGAACGAAAGCCTTCGGAGGAGTTAGCGAAATTCCAATGTGTGCGGATCGGCAAAAAATGCAAAATAACCCTTTAACCGTACATTTGACAGATACGCCCGCACTGACTTTTTTGTAGATCTTATTGAGATACATGTGTGTGTCAATTTTTGTGTCATTTTGACAAAGCGTACAGGCGTGACAGTCAATAGTGTGAATTTTCACCTTAGGGGGCGCTATGGAGCCATTTTGCATTTTCTTGTTTGGGCGACTTCGGAATATCAAATTTTTCACCAGGCCCGGTCGTCCTGCCAAATTTCCTGAGTTTTCGCCAGTGGGAAGTGGGCCATTTTCCAGTTCAAAGGGGAGGAAAAAGAAAAAAGAAACAAAGAAAAACCACTTGGGGAATAATAGGGCTCTCGCAGCTGCTTAGCAGCTACGCTCGGGCCCTAATGAGAAACCTAAATAAACTGTGATAAAAATGGGGATTAAACATATTCCACATGCTCTAAGCATAGACTATAGGACACATGGACTGAGCATCCGTGATGTCACCCATCATTTTGTGATGCAGGGTTTTGAAGCCTGACTGTGGTGGTCACAACATTGGCATTGCTGATTCAACATAACTTTCAGCATACCAGAGACAGGCCTTTAGCCTCCTCACAAACAGTTCCAGTGTGACTGATTTTCAGTCAAGTCAGCCACTCCTCTGATTTGCCAGTCTCATGACCTTAACATCTTTGAAACACACGTTACAAAAGTGTACTTGTGTATGCTTTATTTTTGCCCTTAAACGGGTGTCTTTAAACTAGGGTGAATTGGTCTCCAGTGTTTCTGCAGCGAAGGAGTTTTTGGCACTGAGGCATGGACTTCAATTCTCAAGACCCCAGTTTGCTACTTGGTCTGAAATTACTGATCAGTCATCTATCTCCAGTTTAGGACACAGTCTTTCTAAGTTGAACATGTCCAGAGAAGGATTGGAGCTACTTGGGGGCAAAGCTAACTGAGGTCAAAACACATTGAAAACCCACTCTGATGAAAATCATGCTTTTCTTGTTGTCTACGTGTTCACATGGCATTTTGCTGATGCTACAGGACGTATCGTGAGAAAACTAAGTGCAAAATTGCATTTCTGAGTACTTCTGCATTCAAATCGCTGTGAATCTCTGGTAGACTTAAACGGCAGGTTCAGATACAGTGAGATTTAATACATCACAAATCCAAGCTCCACCCCCCGATATGCAGGCCAGACTTTAAGAAATAGAGAGGTCGATTGCGAAACAAGCGTGTGAGTTAGCAAATTGCAATGCTTGTAAGAAAGTTAATAATGATATTAACTTTCATCATGCCCTCAAAGACATTAGCGTTTGAGAGCTGAATAGCTCCTATGTTACTTGGTACTTCTACTACAATTACAATGTTAGGCTGCAAGCTAGCACGAAGAGGAGTGTGCAGAGCAGTACTGTCTCCACCAGCGACTCAGAGGTGAATTGCTAATGAGCTACTGGAGCTTTGCAGAAGAAAAGCCCTTGAAAATGACACAGGTAACGCAATTTTGGCTAAAAACTTTAAAATCACAATGTAAAGACCACTGAGAACACTTTAAGTTGTTAAAAAAAAAAAAGATCGGAGTGGGACTTTAACACCGCCAACCAGCAGGCAACAGCAAAAGGACTACATCTCCTGAAGTGAGTCATGAAGTGTTGTGATGAGTCCCTGTCCAATAGTCAATTTTTGTCATGTGGTACTCCTCAGCTTGTTTTGTTTTTTAAACTGAAGGCAGATATGCCTTGTTGTGTCTTTGGTCCTGGTTGACAGGCCTCTGTAGCACCATGTCTTCCCCCTCTCTTGACTTTGAAACCTCTAATATGTGACATGTCAGTGATTATCAGCAGCATTGATTCTAGTGCATTCTTATTTTCTGTGCTGGATTAGCTGGAAAATAATTCACACTTAGAGCAAAAGTGGACACATCAAAAAAAGGGTAATAAATTATTGTACAATATTATTTTCAACTTCTATATGATCAAATCTTTCTAAAATAAACGTCCCCAAAATGCACAAACGAGACAAAAGGGCTAAGAAGAATCTCTGTTTATCGTTGGTTTGTGTCAGCAGTAAAGTCCTGTACTCATACTTGAAATATAATGTGTCAAACAGTTAAAGGTGAGCAGTCAGCTGTGGGTATTTGGTTTGCAAATCTGACATGCCCTCACATGTTGTAGTGCTTCAAGATAGCTCTAATGAAAAGATTGAGGAGGGCACAGCTGGCCAACTTCACTTCATCACCATCATCATCATCCCCACAGCTCTGAGTGGACGGCTGCTGCTGAGCCTCAGAGCAGCTCCGTCAGTGTTACCCCCATGACAACAGGTGGCACTGAGGACAGCAGCAGTATATTTACTGAAGACACGCAGTAATAGATGACAGCTGATAAGACTGTGCTGTAATCTCTTTGTGCTCATATTGATCTGAGATAAACATCTGCCCGCCACAGAGCCTCTGTGTTCATGTGGTCTGAGGACATATTAAAAGCTTTTATTGTACCCCTGGCACCCTCATCTACTCTGCTACAAAAACCACACACACACACACAGTTGAGTCAGGCTTTTCTCTCTGATTCACAGCTGTGTGTGTGTGATTCGATGAGTCAGAGTCGTCTCAGTGGAGGATGAATGGGGTGTGGGGTATTTTTGTTAACTCCTCTGTCACCCTTTGGCCTCCTAACCCTGACCAGCAGTGATGATGCAGCACTCTTAGGTTACAAGTCCACAAAACATGAGTGTTATTACTGAGTGGAAATACTGACGTTTATTTGCAGATTTATATGTGGGTTACAAACTTGTAGCTGTGGAAGGAGAAAGAGTGCATACAACAAGACTATTATTGATAAAACTACAGCCTTGCTTACAGCTTAGGGAAAATTTACTAATGTGGAAGCAAACTGAAGCGTTATGGTCATTTAATGTCATCCTGGTCTACTTTAATCATTAATCTAATCTTAAAAGTAGCCAAAGACATATTTCGCTAAGTAAAAATGCTGTTTAAAAATTAAGAACATCTCTCACACAGTGTTTTTAAAAGCTGAATTGCAAACAGTTAAATCCCATGTTGAAGTTCAGGAAGTGTACGAGTTCCTGATGTTATCAGTTAATAACGGGCGAGTGCTCTTAACAACTGCATACACGCATTTTATCAAGTATAAGTTGATTTAAATCGATTTTTTTCTATATAATATCAGCAGTTGTCTGAAAAATAGGGTATGTAGGCTGTTTGATATAGATGAAAGAGTTTATAAGAATCAATAAATAAAAATTGATTGTGTTAATAAATACAACAAGGAAAATTTACTCCACTGATAAAAGGAAGTAAAAGCTGCTCATATTAATGATATGATAATGATACAGTGATGCTATAAGCACTGTAAAATACGTCATAGTCTTTACTTAAACACATTTTGTCTCTCACCTAGAATACTGGCTGTGCTGCAGCCTACACAGCAAATTATATTGGAACAGAGTGGGAGATGATGCTGAACATGCATGATCACACCTTTTCACGTCATTTCTTTGTCACCAAGCCCCAGTTTGAAAATCTGATGATGAAGCTTCATGACAATGGTATTGAAAAACAACACTGTCAAGGTCTACCACCAGTTTCTGCAACAAAGAAGGTGCTGATGTTCCTGTGGTACATGGCCAACCAAAACAGCTTCCCTGAGATGTCTGATAAGTTTGACGTGTCACAGTCACAGCACACAGGATCATCCTACAAGCACTCAACATCAGGTGCACAGTAGGAACATAATTTATGTCCTGGCCAAATACCTGTGAGAAAGCAGCATCTGCTGCTGCTGCTTTCTCACAGCTTCTTTGGTCTCAGTGGTGTCATCAGTGCTATTGATGGATACCACATCAGGGTGCAAAGGCCACCAATAAGAGGAGGAGACTACATGAATTGAAAATCTTTTTATTCTGTCCTCCTTCAGGGAATTGTGGATGAGAGGGGGCGATTCATTGATATTTTGTTGGACCACCAGGGAAGGTCCATGATGTCAGGATGTTGAGGGCCTCTGACTTCTACATGACATGGCAGGAGAAGATGGGTGACAACAGGTTGCTGGGAGACAGTGCATACATCGGACAGGCATTCCTTTTTTTGTCATCACGCCTAAGCATGACAACGGGGTTCTAACTGAGGTCAAGGAGCTGCAGAACTCCAGGATCAGCCGTGGGAGGGTGGCCGTAGAGCAAGCCTTCGGCAGAATGAAGTAGAGATGCCTACAAGATCTGCAGAACACCCGGATTGATGCAGTGGTGATGATCATAATGGCTGCTTGTTTCCTACACAACATGTACATGTCACACTCTGCTGTGTATCTCAGGCTGACTCTCACTCACCTCCCTGCCACACCTCCTCATCAGCACTGATTCCCCATACCTGTGAATGACAAGCTGCAGCTCCTCACTGCTGATTAGCCAGCCAGTATTTAAGTCACTCTGTGTCCCTCATTCAGTGCCAGATTGTCTTCGCAGAATGCACGACTCTCCAGCATTATTTCTTGGATTGACTTCTCGGTTTCGACTCCTGCCTGTCTCTGACCACGTCTTATCGTCTCAGCCCTTGGATCCCCTGTCAAGTTTCTTCGCTCCGGTGAGAACTTCAGGTTTTGCTGTGTTTCTGGCTTCCCAACCTACTGCCTGTCCACGACTATCCTTCCGTCTGATCCCTCTGGAGTTAGTCTGCCCCGCTGATTGTCTGCCTGGATTCAACATTGCCTCCGCTTCGAACACGAGCCCAGCCTGCCCCTCGACAGTGCCGCTGCACTTCACAAAGACTCTCAGGTGTAGTGTGCTTTCTGTGTGCACTCACCTATCTGCCTGTTGGACCTGTTTCCTGTTGGTCTTGGAGGTTCTACAGAGACTGCTAAATCAATCCCAGTATCTTCAGTTACCTTTTTTTGTTTGAACTGTTACAATAAAAGTATCTTCTAAACAACTACCTGCCATTGTGCTGCACTTGGGTCCTACATCCACACCCCTGACAGTACATTGGTGCTTCAGAGATCTGCCAGGAGCACCCAAATGGGTGCCCAAGACAGGCAAATGAAAATGAGAGACACTGCAAATGTTATGAGGCCATACCATGAAATAATCCTTCCCAACCTTGAATTGTAAATAGGTACCAATAATACACTGTTGTCATAAGCATTTTTAGATTTGTTTTAAACTGTCTATCCTGCAAATAAATAAGTGTTTTCCACAGTTATACTGTTCCTTCCCTGTAATTATGATGCTTAATTATTAGTATCATTGACTACAATAGTATCAACAACATGCCAGGCAGAAATTTAGTACTCCTGAATACATTTATTACCATGTTCAATAAAAATTACAAATTTAAAAAAAAAATATTCAAAATGTTCTCTTTGATTCAATTAGATACAAAGTAGTGCAAATAAAATTTGTGCGATGAACATAGTGTAAATAACATACACTCCAGGCAGAAATTTTTTACAACATACAGTGCATCCAGAAAGTATTCATACCACTTCACTTTTTCCACATTTTGTTTTGTTACAGCCTTATTCCGAAATGGATTAAATTCCCTTTTTCCCTAAAATATTCTACATAAAATATCCCAAAATGACAAAGTGAAAAACTTTTTTTAGAACATTTTGCAAATTTATGAAAAATAAGAACACTCAAATGTTGCATATACATAAGTGTTCACACCTTTTACTCAATACTTGGTCGAAGCACCTTTGACAGCGATTACAGCCTCCAGTCTTCTTGTGTATAATGCAACAAGCTTGGTACACCTGGATTTGGGGAGTTTTTCCCATTCTTCCTTGCACATCCTCTCAAGTTCAGTGAGGTTGGATGGGCAGCGTTGATGCACAGCTACTTTCAGGTCTTTCCAAAGATGTTCAATCAGGTTCAAGTCTGCGCTCTGGCTGGGCCACTCAAGGACATTCAGAGACTTGTCCTGAAGCCACTCCTTTGTCTTCTTGGCCGTGTGCTTAGGGTCATTGTCATGCTGGAAGATAAAGCATCGCCCCAGTCGAAGGTCTTGAGCACTCTGAAGCAGGTTTTGATCAAGGATTTCGATGTACTTAGCTGCATTCATTTTTCCCTCGATCCTGACAAGTCTCCCAGTTCCTGCCGCTGGAAAACATCCCCACAGCATGATGCTGCCACCACCATGCTTCACTGTAGGGATGGTATTGGCGAGGTGGTGTGCGGTGCCTGGTTTCCTCCAGACATGACGCTTGGCATTCAAGCCAAAGAGTTTGATCTTCGTTACATCAGACCAGAGGAGTGGCTTCTGTCTGGCCACTCTACCATAAATGCCTGACTGGTGGAGTGCTGTAGAGATGGTGGTCCTTCTGTAGGGTTCTCCCATCTCCTCAGAGGAACGCTGGAGCTCTGTCAGAGTGACCATCGGGGTCTTGGTCACCTCCCTGACCAAGGCCCTTCTCCCCCGCTTGCTCATTTTGGCTGGGCGGCCGGCTCTAGGAAGAGTCCTAGTAGCCTAAAGGATACTATTTATAACCCTTCTCTGCATAAACAGGTCACTGAAAAAAACAAAAAACACCGACTGAAACTACTGGGCTACGGTTCGCCGTTGTTAGCCATTGTTAGCACGGCTGGCTTTGTAATTCCCATATACACTCGAAAAATGTAAAAATTACTCAATGACAGCATTTCCATATATATACATCTAATAATACTTTTGTAGCCTGAGCCTCAGGCTGACTTATTTCGACAATAAATAGCAAAAAGTGTTCATAAAAGGATTATAACAGGAGCTTCAACTTACTGTTTACAACCAGCCCCGCTATCTTCAAACGTCAACTCGGGGGTTGTGTGGATCATTCGACTTTCCAAGTCAGAAATACGACCTCGGAAATTCCGACTTCTGAGTACAACTGGAATGCAGCAAATCTACAATGCCGGGCATTTACTCCACACAGACAGGAGGGAGCAATGTTGAATGATCACTGACCGAAGCCCTCCAAAGCCCCTTTCATACTTCATGCTACTCTGCAGCTGTGTTGCATTTGTTTTCAGTGCACTGAGAGCCAAACTTTCCCTGCTTCACCACAGATTGTAACTGACACACTCAATTTATTTAATTTCCTACCAACTCAATGTTTTATTAACTAACTTGCCTCTAACATTATGTCCCTGGTTATTATGTATTACCTTTACTGCTTGTAATACTGAGAGGTGACCCCACAGATGCTGCATCAAATTTGATGTATTTGACCCTTTAGCTGCAACCTCTTTGGCAGTAGGTTTCCAGATGACTTATTTGTCGTCTTGAATAACTCCTCGGTCATTTAACATTGCTTGGTGCCCCTGGCATACTTAAGTCAACGTAGAGTAGTCTTTTTGACTATGTACAAGTACAGCACATTTAAGGGCACTGAGTGAAGTTTATGTCCATTGTAGTTTTTTCATAATATAGTCACAGTACATTATTTTGCATTTGAAAAACATTCTTCAAGATACGTATACTTCAAAAAGAAGGATTTGAGATGAGTGAAGAAACCCAACCTATGAGCCCTCTTTCTAACACTTATGCTATATTTCTGACTTTTATACTTTCCACTTTTCTTGGCCCTTACTTTTCTGACAAACCAGACATGTGAATAGACACCTATAAGACCCTATATCAACCAATCAGTGCTTACAAATGGCTGTCGAAATGTGTTCTGGATTGGCCAGTATTTTATGACAGCAATAAATTGAATGTAACTTTACTCGTGGACTTAAAATTTGGGGGTTTGCTCCAGGTGTTTGGGACCAGGCAGAAAGAGTAAAGAGTGTCTCCCACTGAGCCTGTGAATGTGATTTCCATGTTTTGTCCACCATCAGTCACAGCAGGGAGTCAGAGTAGCTGGATGCCTTCTACCTGTCTCCATAAGGGTGAACTCCAGCTGGGAGTCAGAGGTCTGACTGCAATAAGCTCATGATCAACCCTTCATAGAAAAGAAACTGACCTTGAGACTGAATTTAAAGACCATCACTCACTGGCTTTCCAAAGTCTTTCTGTGTGTAAGCAGTGGCGTACAGGGCAGCCCTTTTGTTAAATCTGACCAGGACTTGGGGATTGACTCCACTCGCTACCCTTTATCACTTTAAAGGATTTCAAAAAGAAACTTGACTTTGGGACTGCTCATTGTAGCTGCCTCCACAGAAATAAATGCAATAACAATCCATATGTGAGCAGAGAAACAAAAAGCATTTAAAACCACAATGTACGTTTCGCATGACCCATGTTCTGCATGTATCACAATATATATGAGTGAAAAATATTATAGCTTTGTATGGGCTTTTACACTACCCATGAAGCCTAAAGAGACGTTTCTTAATTTTTTACTTAGATTTGATAAGATTCAGACAACAAGCCTTTTTGTCGAGATTCTTCTTTTCCCGTGTAACTTCAGAACAGTTTTCACAATACTCCATTGACAAAATCAGTACATTTACCCAGGTGAACACAGGAGTTCCTGTTCAACAAATGACTTGGGCTGTGTGTGTATTTGAATCAGAATCTGAATCAGAACCAGCTTTATTAGCCTAGTATGTATACACATACAAGGAATTTGTCTCCAGTAAACTTTGCCCTCTATGTGGAGATATTCAACATGAAATGTTACAAAGATTAAAACAGTTCCAAATATGTACAAGCTCAGACTAGACATAAGACATGGACATAGAAATGTCGTTACGGCTTAAGTCAAAAATCAAGCACTGTAACCACAGAAGTGGAAAATATTGTTTTCTAATGGATGACATGCAACACCTAACGGTCTGAACTATATTAAATGCATGTGTGGTGAGGCAATGCATTTCAAATATTGGTTTATTAAGTCAGGAGAATGTAGATTTTACTTCCCTATAGAAATAAATGAAGGGGCCTCAGAGGAGCAGAGAGTGCTGCTTAATAATTCAGAGGAAATGTTCCCACTTCTACGATGACGCCTTTTTTTGGGACAAGTGGACATTTTCCCGACAATTTTGCTGGTGCAATTACTTTTATAACAGCCAGTGAAGCAGGCTTCACTCAAATCAACACACAGTGGGAATAAAAATGAACTCCAGCTCGCACATAACTTCTGGAGTCAACCTGGAGCAAAGTCTGTTCCTGTCTAATTGTATATCTGAAGGAAAATTAACTTTTCAAAGTTTTTTTTTCCCCTGAAAGGCAAATTTACACAAAAATCAAGTCAACCAGTCCTGTTACACTGACAAAGCTCATACCATGTTATATTTTGTGGTTGCTTTGCGCCCGTTTTCTTCCATTTGAAAGCTCCTTTTGTATTTTAACATTCCTTAAACATATATAAAGGTAACACTTTACAATAAGCTATAAAAGTTTTGAACAATTACAAGATAAATAATAAGCAATTACTAGTCAACTATTAGTTTACCAGAAATTAGTAGGTATCCTATTTTAGGCAAACAAACTTGAGAACAAATGGTTGGGTAGTGACACAGGACTGCATATCTACCCATTGTGATGCCTTTACCATCAGATATCCAAAATCAGTAACTAATGAGTAGGCAGTTTTGTGCAAGTTCACATTAAATATGAGCCAACTCAAAATTCAACTCAAACTGATTATCATGATCTAGTTCACATTCAGAGCTAATTTTTTAAAATTCATGGTCCAAAAATGTCTACCTTTTTTACCTAAATGCTCTGTCAACAGAGCCTCCTCAGCTTCAATATTTGACCTACAGTCATTGAGATTCCCTAAAGTAAATGATTTATCAAGTTATACTGTATCATCCTAAAGAGTTATGAAAATCTCATTTCAGCATTCTTGACCAATTAAACACAGTAAAATTATATATTTTAAACCACACTTTTTAAACATTACTAAAAGCTGTTAAAAAAGCTTATTATTGCTCGTATGGGTTGTTATAAGCTACATTTATTAGGCTTTACATGTGTACTTGTGATGTCTTATGGGAGGTGGGTTCATATAAAGTTATACCATAACAGCTTCATTGGCATCACTAACCATACCTTTGCTGTAGGTGCCATAAATCAAACTTCAGCTGCTGTAACACACAATTCTTGCTTACTCTCGACAACTCTTGAGACCTCTCAGACTCTCCCTGAATGTGAGCGGTCGTTCTCTGACTCCAGAGCGAACTACTCTCACATTCCCATTCATGAGTTGCAAAACTTCAAAAAATCTGTGTATTTTATGTGCCTGTAAAGTTAAAGTTTTTCTCCTCTCTTCCTCTTTACTCTGCAGCTGGTGACAGGTCCTCAATGTTTTTTACTCATGATATTGGAAATGAACATTTTTGTCAGTTTAGAGACAGAGCACCTTGTGCTGTACCTCCTCTGCTAATG